CTTAATTTCTGCTGTGTATCATATTAATTCACTTTCCTCAGTAACAGGCAGGGTGGGTTTTAGAGCTGTAACATATTCTCTAGAGTCTTGCCTTTATTTTGATACCAAAACAATTAAAATAAACTCTGTAGTTCTTGAGATACATTCAATTCATTTTGGGCATGTATTTTCAACCATATTTCTCAAAAAGAGGCCTAGAGATGAAGAGGTTAAAAGGAAGGAACATTTTACACCGTTCTGAGTTATTTTCAAAGTGTGGCGAGCCTGTGTACGTCAGATTGGATGGGGGAAATCTCTGAACATCAGTTTTCAAGCCTTGCCACTGATTCTCTTTTGGACTTAGAGCTGGACTTTGAGACATTCTGACAGATGATCGTGCTTTGATCTGAAGTATTCATTGTGTTATTAAAACATAATATTATGTTATTATGTCTGCGGTTGCTGTTTTGTGGGAAGGCAAACCTCCACCACAGCTTGAAGTTGGTTTTTCAGCTTTCAAAAGGATTTCTGTCAGGACCAGCCTCTGTTCAGCTCCTATTCATCTTACCATAAACTCTGCTGACCTTCCCTTTCCGTGCTGAAGAAAATCATTCCCTCAGCATTATACCACCATCATTATATTTTACCATGGATGTTGTGCTTAGGATTGATGCGCATCTTTTCCTCCACACTTAGTGGTTAAAACATAGCCAGAAATTTAAATGTTCTTTTCTTTTTTTTTATGTTACCAGAGCACTCATTTTCCAAACTGCAAACTCCTAATGGCTTCTTTTCTTTCTGGTCTTTCTCTATGGCCAGATTTACTGAGCTCACAACTAATTATAGCTCTATCCAGATTCTCCCACCTGAGCTGTGGAACACTGCAGCTCCTCCACAGGCCTTTTGACCTAAGATTTCTAATCCTAATAGAAAAGTATATAGAATGCTCTTTCTATTTTAAAATAACAGATTAAAAAATGCAGTGTGACACGTCCAAAGCCTGGAATATTATTCTGGTATCTATCTCTGCTTTAAGTGTTTCCACAACTTTATTTTTTACGGCTCTGCAGTGTCTAACTGTGTCTAACCCAATTACTGACCTGCAAAGCCAGTTGTACTAAACATGTTGAAATCCATCCAGAAGTCACTTGCTTTGCACCTTTTGAGCTGAAATTTATAATTTGATCCTTCAGATAAGCAAAAAAGAACTGACCAAAAAAAACAAAAAAAAACAAACACCAGTTCTTCTCTGACTTCCTGACCTCCTCTTCCTCTGCCACAGAGAACCGTCTCATCCTAGATGCCTTCGCCCAGCAGTGCAGCCGAGTCCTCAACCTTCTCAACAATGGCCGTCTGCTGGAGCCTCCGTCTTCCTCCCTCAGCTCTAACATCAAGCTGGAAGACGGGCGAGGGGACGCTCAGGGTCTCCACTGCTCCTCTCAGGGGAAGCTGAAACCTCCGGAGAGCTCCTCCACCACCGACCCTGAGGACGAGGCCCAGCAAAGCCATTCCAACCAGCACCAGACCTCTGCCGTCCTCCGCATCTTCACGGACTCCCTGCAGAGCTACCTGCTCTCTGGGCCTCAGCAACACCTGGCTGCGGGTCTCGAAGGGGAGCAGTGCGCTCCCGCCGAGCGCGGTTCAGACGTGTCTCCGTCGAGACACAACCTGGGAGGATGGGGATCCCCGGCTCCGTCAGAGTCGTACGGACACCCGTCGTCCACGCTGCCGGAGGAGGAGGAGGAGGAGGAGAGCTGCTGCCCCCGCTGCCTGGAGCTGGAGCAGGAGGTGCTGTGTCTGCAGCAGGAGAACGAGGAGCTGCGTAACAAACTGGAGAACATTCCAGGTGCGGTAATCCGAGACCACAACTTCAGTTTGTTGTTTAATCCTGTTATTCTTGTTTCTTTCACTGTGTTTGTTTGCGTCTTGCTTGGTCTCGTTTGCTTTTGTTTTCTTTGTGATGTTTTGGATTCATTTGGAGAAGGTTTCACAGAACATTTTTTATTTTATTTTTGGATTTTATATGACAAAAGAGAGAAGAAAATAGGACGACTGTTGAAATTCTGTCTTGGTCAGGCAAAGTTGGCAATTTAGTTGAACAGAAAATGTAAGACTAATAATGGATAAAATACTGATTTTGCTAAGCTTTTCAAGAGTATGGTTAGAGCAAGAATTAAATATTATTTCCAAATGAATGAGCTGGGTGTTTTTTCAGAATATATGATATATTCTGTTTGCTTTAAATCATTTAGAACTTTATAAATACGTTTAAGTTGATTGTCTCTATGAATCATTAATGAGAATCTTTTTCTTTCCTTCTTTCTATCTCTCCGTCCATCCATTTTCATCAAAGACAAAGCACGACAATAAAACCTGGTTTAAAATATTTAATTAAATATTAGACAGCTATAAGCTCTCACATTTAAAGCGATCGCGAGTGAAAGCATGTTTAAGTACAAATGACCTTTCTGGGGCCAGATTGGGCCTGAGGGTCCAGGCAGACGGTCACATTCAGACGTTAGCGGTGAAGAAAAACAACAAGCTTCTAAAGTAACTATAATTGAAAATTACATTTGGAGTGAAACAGTATTACATGTGCTATATTTTCCATTGATATGAAAGTCACTACCCATTCTCCTAGTAAACCTTTGGGAAAGTCACATGTGAATCGGATTATAGATCATGATACAGCATTGAACTTTACACGGCGGGCAGAAATGTCATCATAAAGTTAATTTAATTGAGTAATTCAATTTAAAAAGAGAAGTGTCTTATAAATTCATTGCAGGCAGAGGGATGTAATTTGATTCTTATAATGTACGTCTAATGAAATTCCCCAAAATATTTCTAACACAAATTTGTTCTGTGATGTCCATGTTATGACCTTCACAGTCACAGTAAAGCAGACATTTAGTTGTGAGAAAAATAAATCTATGAGACGTCAAATATATATTTTTCACTGTAATATATTTGACTCTGCAAATGAGTTTCTATTACTTGAATGGAATGTATTTTTAAATTACATTTGACAATAAATTAAAATTCACCTCTACAAACAGGAATTGCAGCAACAAGAAAAATGTTTACATATTCCCACATAATATATAATTTTGTTAAGTTGCTTTAAATAGTTATATGTTGCAATTGTGAGTAAGTTACGAATAAAATAAAGATATGTTCAAAATTATTTCTCAGAATTTATAAGAAAGGTAAAGAAAGTAATCTAAGGATATGGTTGTAGGTTTACAAAATCAATCCTTTTTGCTTCAGGGATTTTTTTCTGCTACTGTTCACTGTAACACCTGTTTTTGTTTTTTTCTGTTTTTTTTTTTTTCCCCCAGTGCCCTGCCAAAATACTTTGGACTACTTCAAGGCTGTTCTTGAATTTCACAACCAGCTGGCCCAGCAAATGCCAGAGGAGCAGCTCACCGAGGTGAGAAACAGGCTTGTGTTTGGCTTTATAAAGGATTATCATTGTGAAATATAACATCATATCCATCTTCAAGCAGTGTGACAATATGGAATTAAAAGATGTATCTCTGCAGGAGGAAGAGCAAACCGTCTTTGAGGTTTGTCGTTTAATCATTGGATCATACATACACGTGTTGTTTTTTTCTTTGTTTCACCCAAACTCCTAAGTTTAACTCCTCTTCCCTTCAGGGGAGCAAACAGCTGCTGGAGAACTACCCGCTCTTCATCACCAACAAGCAGTGGGATGAAGCCGTCAACTCCTCCAAGAAAGATGGCCGACGGCTCCTGCGATACCTGATCCGCTACGTCTTCACCACGGATGAGCTCAAGTTCTCCTGCGGTTTGGGGAAGAGGAAGCGCTCGGTGCACTCAGGAGACCCGGGCCTGGAGAGACGCCCGCTCAACCCAGTCAAAGTCAGCTGCCTCAGAGGTGCGTCGCCTCGGTCTCCGCTGATTTAGGAGAGTATGCACTCACCATCAGATTTAAAGCACTGAAGTGTGACAACTTTGTTTTAAAGCCGTGCGATTTTAGGCTGTTAATCATGCAGGTTTATCTGCTTTTACGTCAATGCTTCATTTAATGGTTCACCATCACTTTTATCTTAAAGACTAATATGTCAGAGTTTTTAAACTTTTACTTGCCAGTGATAATAGTGATCATGTTTTCTTACAAATATACCATTTTTGAAGTAAGAGTAAGCATCTTGCGGTAAATAATTGTAAATCCTTTGGTGACATTTATGCAAGGCAACAAGCAGATAAAATAAGCGATCCACACTCTATGCACCTGATTATCGTGCTCCGAGCTGCAGAGAAGCACACACAACAAGAAATTGTGCATTAGGCAGTTTGTTATTTGGGACACTTAAAATTTCTCAAATGAAAGAGCCATTAAAAAAGCTTCAGAATCTACCCAACAAAGCCTAAGAGCAATTGTTTGAATTCAACATTATTCTCAACATATTTTTAAAAGCACCTTTTAATTGTGGCATTTCCTTTTTAAAAGTATTTATTGTCAGTTGAGAGATTTTAATGCTTTTCACATCATTCAACTAATTTTTTTGTAAATTACTACAAATGACAGTATTTTTAGGATTAAACAGTACCATAGTAATATAAGCATTTATGATTATTAAACTGTGGTACTTCTCAGATTTCTTTTTAACATCAAGCTTTCAGATTACATAAAAATGCCAAGCAATCAGAAGTTGAAAATCAAAACTACAACTCAGTCAAACTACTATATATTTTTGTATCTCAACTGCAGCAAAACAAACATTGTTAGGTTGGACTCTTGTGTTTTTGGTCATTTTACTCTCATCTTCCTCCACCAGATATGAACCTTGGCCATCTCACTTTCACATCCTGACCCAAATCTTAACGTGTGCTCTGATTTTCCAGTAAAGAGAATAACTTTTATTAACCCTTCAGAGTTTATCCGGATGCACTGTGCCTCAAACCCAGACTGGTGGATGCCCTCAGAGGAGCAGATCAACAAAGTGTTCAGCGACGCCGTCGGCCACGCCCGCCAGGGCCGGGCGGTGGGTACGTTCCTGGGCAGCAGCGGCAGCAGCACCAGCAGCCTCTACATGGACGGCTTCGACGGACATCTGTCGCAGGACGAGCTGTTTCTGAAAGGCTGCCAGAACGGCCAGTCGGACTGAAGTTATACAAAAACAAAAATGATGAACCTTAATATGTAGCTGTACGACAACATATCCAGAAACACCAACCTTTATCTAAAAACATTCCAGAGAAAGCGTGTTATACAGAATACAACTCCAGCCCTTGCTTTAAGTAATTTTATAACCCTTTTGGTTGTTTTATACTTGCATTTTTTGAGTCAAAATTTGACTTTTGCCAGTTTTCAATTTTAAAGCAATTTGAGTCTTCCTTTTTGCTACTTTAAAATATGACTTGAGTTTATTTCACTGTCAGTGGGTTATGTTTAGGGCTAAGTCAGTTTCAGAGAATATTTTGTGTTAAATTTATAGGATAGTTGTGTTAGAATTTCCGTATATCTACACAAGCTGCACCTTCATGATATTCATAGCTAAAAGTAGCATTTAATCTGTTTGCATCTGTATGTAGTGAAAGCACCTTTACCTGAAATTTTTAACAGGAGTGCCTCTGACATCGTCACATTCGCTTGTTCACTCTGCTGCGCTTTGACTTTCATTCAATCTTCATTTAATTTAAACAAAGACATGTAGGTCAACACTAGACATTTGGTCCAAGTCACAACCAAACTTAAAGGTTATCTTGTTATATTTTGGAGGTAGTTACATGTAGTTGAAACCACAGTTATTTTTTTTGAAAAGCCACCAGTCCCTTCTGCAACAAACCACACACAAAACATGATGCTGCAGTCACCGCCGTACTTTATAGTTGGGATCCTTTGTCACGATTTTGCAAGCTTCACATTTTACCTCCAAAATGAACAATGATGATCATGGTTCAATTTTAGCATCCTCAGACTGCAGGAGAGACACAAATGTTTTTTCCATGAGCGCATTAGCAAAAACGATTGTTTTATACTCGCATTTTCGTCAAAATTTGACTTCTGGCAGTTTTAAAGGAGGCGTCTCTTTAAATCCAGTGGACTGCTTCTAAGATTCACAGTAGGTGCTAGATATAAAACACAATAAAGTCAAGATTACTAAGAACATTTAAATGTAAAGCCACAAAACAGAAATTTCATTCTTGAAATTTGTTTTTAAAAAACACTGCAATTAAGAAAAACATAAATTTCAAAGTCACATTGAAAAGAAATAGTTAAATTAAATATCAAAGACTTTTTTGGGGAGGGTGTTCAATTCAGGGCAACCTTACAGCACAATTTTAACCAAAGTTTTCTGTGTTTTTAACTTGTTTACAGTCCAGTAATTAGTCCTGCCGAATTGAAATATGACTTTAGTTTACGTTTTTGTCTGAATTTGCAACAATACCGCTACTTTTTGCTCAAATACACTGTTGCCTACCAGGTTTGAATAATTCTCTTTTTACACACTTTTCCTCTTTTCGTTGTTAGTTTAATTTTTACTATGCTATTTTTGACGAAGGTTGATCAAAGCAGTTTTCAAAAGATATGCACAGCATGTCATGAATAGACCACATTGTCACAATAATTGTGTTAAAATTGGTAGAAAATACACTATTTTGCCAAATTTATTGCATCACCCATGCAAATGATGAAATGCAGGTGCTCAAATTACCTCCATATTTACAGGTGCATAACATTCAGAACCTAGGGCTGCAGACTGCTTCCTCTCTTTCTCGTCCAACATCAGTGTCTGACCTTACAAATGCACGTTTGGAAGAACAGGAAACAAAAATGCCCATAAACACACTTCTTAGCCTAGTGGAAGGTTTTACCAAAAGATTTCTACCTGTTATACCTGCAACGGAAGAGCCAACATCTTACTAAATACTATTGATTAAGTCAAACAAACAAAACCTTGTTGTATACTGTACTTTATCCAACTTCATGGGCAGCAGTGTGCAATAAATACTTGTATTTAAAACCTAAATTAGGAGCAAAACACAGGCAACAGTAAAGATCTTTAGTTTAAGGCAGTTGCCACTTTATGAAGCCTTAAATGAGTAGGAAGACATTCACATAGTAAAATGTTGAAACTCTGTGTCATCATGTGATGTGTGTTGTTCCCTGACAATGACTGAAAGTGTCTACTTCCTCAGAGAGAGAAAGCATGAAGCACTTGTTTATTTCTGAAGCTGTTATTTGCACTTTTCATGGTCTCACTGGGGACAAACAGATGTAAAGAGCTAAATACTCACCTCAAAAAAAGATTTCATGCTGAACAACTTTCTTTGCGGGTAACATTGTTTTCTTCATCTGAATGTAGCTGATCGTGAGGCCAAGTCACCCATAAAACGTGCTGTGTAAATTGTGTAAAATAACGTATGGTTATTGTTAAAGTTTTTTTTTTTCTTTCAGAAAATACAATGTCTCCCTCTTTAAAAAGCCAAGTAGATAAGTGCCAGAGAAACCTTAAAACTGTTGGACTGTGCTGTTGTGTTGCTGTTCTGAATGTGTGCGTTTGTTCCCATGTACTTCTTTACTCAAAGTGGCTGTAATCAACACTGTGAAACATTCAATTTTTACAAATATTCAGTAAAAGTTTTTTTTTATTTCCAATGAATAAACTAAAAAATGAAGCTGAAAACTCCTCTCTGTTCAAAATGTCTTTATAAACGGATCATTAATGGTAATCTTGAGCTGTCGCTGTTTTTCTCATCACATTTCATTGATATTTGATGTATAATATCATTAACCAAGATTTTTCTTTTAATGGTGAGAATATCACCATTCTACTAAAATATTCTATTTTAGTAGAATATTTTAACATAGTTGTACAGTGGAGAAATGTTGTTGCTTCATTTTATCCATAACTCAATCAAAACTCCTAAATAATTTGTAGAAATTCCCCTGAAATGAGTTCATGTCGGTGTTAGAGTCGAGATGAAACTACAGCTCCTCCGTCTGGAGGTTTTCAGGAGGTGATTGTGAAGTTTTTTCAGTCCGAGCTGCAACAATCCACAAGGTGGCTCTGCAGTTTCAAGGAAGATGTAAATTACTAGTAAAAACTATTGTCATGAAGACATCTGTGCAGATGATTATCGGGAAGATTGCACTCTCCACAACAGACTTATGGAAAGTCTGCAGCGTTTTGCTCCAAACTGTGAGCTTTCCTTAAAGAATAAAGTTTGTTGTGTCTTTTACATGGTTTCACTGTACAGTGCAGTTCAGTCTGTTGTCTAGGTGAACACACAAGTATTTATACTCCTGCATAAATGCAGTTAGGCATGAACTCCGAAAAGCTGAATGCTGAAAATAAATCAGAGCTTGCCTCAAAATAGTATTACTCTAAGCGTGTGCATTTTCCACTAATAGATTTGCTTGTTCTTCAGGTATGTATTTTGCTTACTTTTCAAAAACATGGAACTTTTGAGAGACATTTTGCATCCATTCATTGGCTATGTGTAACCAATTTACCTCACAGTGATGTTATTGGGCTGTTGGAGAAAGCTGCAACATATAAAGAAGGAAATATGGCAGGGATTTGAACACACGACCTCCTTGCTGCAAGACAATAATGCCATTTAACCTTAAACATTACTGTGTTTTCATGGACAAAATGATTAATATTAATGAGAACATCTTCTTGGTAAGATTTTGTGCAAAAACACAAAATCTTACCAAGTAGTTCAGGTCTGGTTTCTCGTGCTAACATCTTGGTACACTTGAAACAAGACAAAACTAACTTACAAGTAAATGTTCAGCAAGATATAGGAGCTTGTTTTAAGTCAATAACTTGATACTGATGGAAAAAAATTAGTTCAATTGGCAGATTATGACCTTATTAAGGAATTATTGACTTAAAACAAGCTCATACATCTTGCTGAACATTTACTGCAGTCAGTCTTGTATTCTAACATATTTACACCGGAAACTAGACTTACTGATCAAAACGCGGCGCAGGCAGGCTTGCTTTCTCTGTACCTTCACACAGCTTTCCTGTGTCTCGCTGGATCAGACGCAGCTTTGGGTGTTTCTCTTTAATTCTGCGGCATCTCTCTCCTCTCAATGCGGGCCTGCTGTGGTGGAGGAGGGCGGGCCGTGGAAACACACAATGAGCAGATTCCGGACCGTCAACTCGTTGATGATGCGACATGAACGGGAGCAGATGATTTCTGCTCCACTATAACGTGATTTGCATAGACTGAGTTTAAGCAGCAAGAAGCGGCTGAAACTGAAGACTGAAAACTGAGGCTCGTCGGAATTTTGGGAGATTTTTTTTTTCTTCCCTGCAGCGGTATTTTTTGCGCAGCACTTAGGAAAAAAGGGGGGTATGACCTCCCGATCAGCTGATCAAACACTTCAGTGAGTGAAACTGCGTGTGTTGAGTTAAAGGTGGTGGTGGTGGTGGGTGGGGGGCAGCGGTACAAGATGATGATGTCCTTGATAGATCTGGACGATGATCAGCGGTGGGTGCCTACTCATGTTAATGTCACCGTGCTCCGCGCCAGGGGGCTGCGAACCAAGGGCAAGCACGGCAGCCGCTACCTCTACACCATCATCCAGGTGGGGAAGGAGAAGTACACCACCGGGCTGGTGGAGAAGGCGGAGGTGCCCGTGTGGAACGAGGAGTGCTGCTTCGAGCTGCTCCCCGGGATCCTGGAGGAGGGCGGCCGCAGCGCGTTCCCCCCGGGGAGCGGAGATCTGGTCCTCACCGTCATGCACCGGGTCCTCATCGGGCTGGACGTGTTTCTGGGTCAAACCATCATCCCTCTGGATAAGATATTCCAGGACGCAATGTGTCCCAGAGATGAGTAAGTTTCACATTTTCATTTCAGTTAACTATCCTCTCACTTTCAGACAGTGTTTTTTATAGTCGAGGAAGACTCTGGTATTTTTAGTTTGTGAAGATCAGTCATGTGCATCAGCTGAGCTCACCGGTTATCCTCAATGACTTAGTTAAGAAGGAACCAGAACTGTTCTGCAAGAAAGGATGCAAGCTGCAGAAGCAACATCCTCAGAAAGACCTGACCTATGGACTGATGTAGCAGAGGTTCCCATAATGCACCGCAAGTAAACAAGATGAGTTGCACTTTTCGCTGTTGCACGAGTCTTCATCGTGACCATGAAGTCAATCTTCATGTAAAAGTAAAATTCCCTGACAATCTTGTACAGTTTCAGAGAAAACATGTCTGACAACAGCAGCCATTGTGTCTATAATTTTCTATTAATAGAAATCACATAAATCATTATTCATGTGGCTGCTGAGATTGAAACACATTTAACTTTCTTATGATGTTGTTATATAAATAGACCAAGGCTGTGACAGAAAAATACAGTTAGTAGTTGGGGAAAGATTTTAAAAGCTGATTATGTGAGTCAGATGGCCTTAGAGAACATATTGCATTAAATGCTCCCTAAACCCTGTGATTGGACTGAGCCTCAGCTGAAGATTAGGACATAAAAACAAATATTTCTGCAAACACATAAATGATCTTGAGTTTACAATCTTAATAAAAGGTGAACCTCAAGGCTTTGTAGCCTCCAACATGTTTACAGAATTTCACTGTCCTTCCCTGTTCAACTTTGATTCCACCACCATGTTTTACTCTGGGCATATTGCTAAGTTTGATCTCTCATGACCTGAGCACTGCCTTCCAGATCACACAGTTTAGCACAATGTGTTAGACTGCTAATGTAGCTTTATTATTATTATTATTATTATTATTATTATTATTATTATTATTATTATTATTATTATTATTATTTTAGCTTTATTTCAAAAATGCCTTTCCTGCTTCACTCTTCCAATGAAACTATAATTGTGAGATGTATAACTAACATTTATGCTGTCAACGGTTCCTGGCTGTTGTAGTTTAGGCCGACAGTCATGAATTGATATGTTTACAGCTGTGCCAAAATATTTCTGTTTATGTAGAAAGGATTAAACTGTGCTCTGTGAAATGTCAAAAGTTAGTAATATGGTTTATGAACTAACCCTTCCACTAGTCCACAACTTCATCACCTAACTGCTGTGTTGCTTGGTACTTTGATAAACTGGTTCTGGTTACATTGAATTTTATTAAAAGGTGTCAGAGTAAAGGGGGATGAAAACAAATGTGTGCCACAATTTCCTATTTTTCTTTTTAAAAAAGAAAAAAAACTAAATTATTGATACTTTTCTTCCTCTTTGCATCTGTTTACTACCTATAAACACACTGAATGAAAAAATAAAAATATTTCTGGAAAATCGATGACGTACATTACCCAACTGACAGGTTATATAAGAGCCTGTGGATACGGTCAGTTTCTTTTTATTGGAGTTCTGCTTTAGATTACTTACTGGCTGTCAAGTCTTGAAAAGACTCAACATCGTTCTTTTGTAATGGCTTTTGCAGAGTATTAAATGTGGCTGACTCACCAGTTCAATCAAAATACCATTAGTGGTCGTTTTCCCTCCAAACTCATGTCTTCACTTATTACCTTTTTTGGCTCACAAGTCAAGAGGTACAGTTAGGCAGAAGTAAGTATCCACTTTTCTTTTTTCCTATCATGCAGGTCTTCTGTGATGTCTTCATCGTTTACATTCAATGACGAAAAGCAAAGTGTCATACTTAGAAACAGGTGATCGGACAACATGAAAATGATCACTTTCAGTGGAATGTCAATATAAATAATATTTATTATTATCAGTCTCAATTATTACCTGTGAATGCTAGTGAACTACCCGTGTTTAATGCAACAACAGGTGACGTATCTGGCCTTTCTGTTATTTGAAACACTGGAATAGAGTAAAACAGGAACATCTGGCTTTAATTGAAGATCCTGCTCCCTCTATGCTCACTGAATTCCTGCTGTTCGTTCTGGCTTTGTAGCATTTTCTGGGGTCCGCTCAGTGGACCTGAGAGGGAGGAACAGAGCAAGGACTGAATTCATTGGTTGACCCAGTTTATCTGTTAATGCTTTTTTTTTTTCAGCAGACCTTTTTTGTGCACTTTGAGAAATATGAGTTTCCATATGTAGCGCACAAACCGCTGAGCTTTATCTAAACGTTTTGCAATAACTGGGATGCTTTTACTCAGAGAAACTATTATTTTTATTGCTCAAGTTCTTATTTAAGCTCTAAAAGGAGTGTATTATGTAAAATCTGCTGTTTTTAGCTTTATCTTATAATTTCATTCCCTCATCAAAAACATACCTGCAGTATTGTTTTTTTATCATACATCTTTGAGGAATCACTGAGTCTCACATAGCAGTCATTTAGGGGTGCCTAAACGCTTGCCCATACAAAGCCTCCAGCTGAGCTTCCGTCCTACAGAGCACCCCTTCCCTTACGCATTCCCCACAAACTCCTCCAGACTAGTGGCAGCAGCAGTTAGAAAACGCTTGGTAGAACTGTCGTAATTGAGGAGCATTGTTATTATGACCTGTTGAGGGTGGAGGGTTGGAAACAGTAGAAACCTTTTAAAGAGACAGAGGTCCATTTAAAAGTGGTCAAATTACAAAGTCTCACTTCTTTTAAGTTGTCAGCTTTTTTATGACAACTAAAGGTAACATAGTTACTTGATTGTGCTATGAAATGGTGCTACATGCTTGGAAAATACAGAATAATGCCCCTTTAAAACAAAGATGCATTGGACATTATCTCTTTTTTTCTGTAGGTGGTTCAAGCTGAACTCCAAGGCGGGTAGAAAAGAGAAGGAACGTGGCGAACTTCAGGTGACGGTCCAGTTCACCCGCAACAACATGACAGCCAGCATGTTCGACCTCACCATGAAGGACAAGCCCCGGTCTGCTTTCAGCAAGCTCAAGGATCGCGTAACTGGGAGGAAAAGGGGTGATGTGGAGTCTTCCTCAGCCATTGTGCCAGGCCGCTACGCTGCGTTGTCAGGGTCCCTGGGGCAACCGTTTGGAGAGGAGGGAGGGGTTGGGGTGGAGTCAAAAGAGGTGGAGATAACAGAGGAAAAGAGGAGCAAGATGAAAGATTTCTTCAAGGGAAGACTGCGAAAGTCATCTGACACAAGGTCGTGCTCGTCTCTGGCCTCAGAGAGCAGCTTGTCTTCCATGGCCAGTGATAACCTTGGCCCTCCACCCAGCCTGGATCTGCTGTCAGACCCCCCTAGCTCCCCCATTTACACAAGCAAAGTGAGAATTGATGCACACTATGGGGAAGCAGACCTAGCAAAAAAAGGTAGGTCTGAAATTATTTGCAGAATTATTAAAGTAATCAATGTTTGTAGTGAAACTGCAGATGTCTGGCACTTATCAAAGATAAGTTAGTCTCAAAAGCAACAAAATGATAGAAATTTTACAATAATGTTAAATAAAATAAATTTATTTAGTTCTTCTTTATGTGGTAGCATAGCTATGCATAAAGCTACCAAACTCAGTCATAGATACAGCAGTTTCTGAAAGTTATGGTGAACCTGATCACATATATGCATTTCAAAACAAATAGACAAATATAAATTGTACTCATTGTACTGTAGGATAAGGCTTCTGTCTTTGCTGGTTGCTTTGAATGTTGTCTATTCATTGGTTGACACGAGGAATTCAACAGTTTCCCCGTTTTTGAAAAGTAAATACATTCCTTGGTAATTGCTTTTGGAAACATGTTATTTTGGACTGTTGGTTATGTTTCCGTGCTTATGGCAAAGAAACTAAACCCAGCAAAGCTCCACTTCTGTAAAAAAGCTACACAAATGTAGCCTGGAATATTCTTTTCAGCTGCTGTTCACATAATCCTTCATATTTTACAATTTAAAAAGTGATTATATCTCTTCTTATTTCTTTCTGACAGTGCTCACCACCCAGCACACCACCAAGATTCTTACGCACAAGCGAGCCTTCAGCGATGAAGCTAGTAAGATCACCACAGCCCTCCCTCGATCAAATGTCGCGGTGGAGTCTCTCAAGGGTCAGACCATGACTCAATCCAAGTCGTCTCTCTGTATAAATGGAAGCCATGTCTACGATTCAGAGCCATCGACTCCAAAAGGCTCCGGAGCACTCCCGTCCAAACTGGTTCTGCTGGAGAAATATTCACCACTGTCTCGGTCTCTGCAGAATCTCACAAAAAGGGGAGAGGAGAAAAGTTCCTTTACCGAGGGACGGCGCTGGTCCGTTGATAAGCTGAAGAAAGAGGAAAAGGAGGAAGAGAAAGAAGCATTAGCTCAAGAGGCTCAGACTGGAGATCCCCCTGTTCAGGCAGCAATGCCAATCGTATCTTCAGCAGGTTGTTCACCTGAAAAAGGAAGGAAACTGAGAAAGACGTTGTTCTCTGCAGGGAGGAGCGATTCTCTGCCTACTAAGTCAGACCTAAACCAGGCCAGTGCTTCATCGGAGGGAAGGCTCAGAGGTTGGTTTGGCTCCGGAGACTCCCAGAACAAGCCAAGGTGAGTCAGAAATCATCATAGGTTTTCCACAGTTATGAACATATTTAGTTTCCATTTGGGGCATACTGAATGAAATGGGTGTCAAAATCAAGCATTTGTTCTGCTATGTGCTCATTTGAAAACAGAATTACTTATTTTTGGCCTTTTTAGAATCACATGGTATCATCATCACTATCCGTATTTTCATATTTGGCACTTCAGCATTGGCATTTTTTTTCAGCGTGTCTTTCTCTCCAAACTGCATCACGTGCACACAGTTGCTCACCCAGCACTCACCAACACTCTACCTGAAAGTGTAGGTGGAGCTTGAATTGCTACTGTACATCTCTTATTTCTTTCTTTGCTTGATTATTTTGCAAATGGGCTTTGCTTTTTCTTATTTACGTTTCCACAATTCTGCTTTTATGACCTGATATCTTCAAACTGAACTTAGCTGAGAAGGTTTATCCTAGTTAATGAGCTAGTATTCTGTTTTTGTAAACTGATTTTCCCCAGCTGGTAACCTGGCACATCATTAACCAAGAGGAATATTGTGCCCTATTTTCCTCTACAGGCTGGAATTTTCTTCTATGGTAGAAAGCAGCTCAGATGTACCCCCTTCCCTCTCTCCTTGCTCCCCAGTACCTCCTCCTTGCTCCTCTCCCTCTGCTTCTCCCTCTGGTCATGTTTCACCCGACAATCACAGTCACATCAACCTCTTCACCCCTTCCTCTTCTCCTTCCTCAAACCCTCTCTCCCCTTCAAACCCTTTCCTGCCATGTATGCAGCGCAACCCCTTTTTTGAGGAGCTTGTGGCAGAAGAGTTAGAGAAGTTGCCTTCTGTTGCTCCGTGCTCCTTACCAGACTCACCCCCCTTTCATTACACCACTCTGCCAGCAGACACTAATCCCGAAGTCAGCAGCAAAAATAGGGTTTCAATAAAACGTGAGCGCCCCCGGCCAGTTGCTAAGCAGATATCACTACCTGCTTTAGTGCCCAAAGGAACCATGCCTGGCTCCCCCATCCACTCCCCTCCTTACTCCATGCCTGAGCATCCAGGAGAATGGGAGGAATCCTTTGATGCCTTTGCCTGTAGCAGACTCAACTCCCCTAAAGGTAGATTTCCTCCAGAACAGCCCAGAACCAGTCCAACCTTATCTTGTAAACGTAGCTTTTCTCCGGTGGAAAACATTGGCTGTAACTACGTACAAGAACTGCAAAGATGCAATGACGAGCCTCCACCTTTACCCCCAAGGAGACTTATAAGGACTTCGGTGAATGAAATTTTCTCAGATGGCTGGCTGCACAGAGGCCAGGAACTAGCTGTCCATAAAGAAGCCTACCTCCTCTCTCAGACTGGTGTGGCATCTTTGCAGCGTGGCAGGGAGGGTGAATCCAAAAAAGAGATTCCTTCTCCCAGCACAAGTTCAAGCAGCGGAACATCAGAGTCTATAGGCGTCCACACCCAGCCATATACAAACAACACCTCACTTGGACTTATATCTGAAGAGAACCCCAAAAGGTTCAAATATGAACCTTTGGAAGATGTAGCTGACTGTTGGGGTGGAACATTGTTTGAGCAAGACTTGTACAGACGTGCGTGCAGGGGAAATTATGGACAACAGAGACTAAACAGTCATCATTTATCAATGAGCACTGAGGAAAATGCAGGGGATAAAATCTCATTCAAGAACTCAGGGTCTGGAGGGCTTCTTGATAGTGACCATTTCAGCGTACTGTCCAGTGTTCCCGCTGATGTACCAAATATATCATATACTACGGCAGAGGAGACAGAAGAACTGAACCCATGTGAATCCACATGCCTCAATAATAACATATCTTTTTCGCTAACACTAGGAGACCTTAACATGAATGTGAACAATTCAGATTTTGGTTTCATTGACTCAGATGGATCTTCTCAATCTGAAGCAGCCGATAATTTCAAAAGCAATCTAGGAGAGAACGCTCTACCCCAAGGTTCACAATTAGACATTTACCAGAAGGAGACCACATCTGGGGATATATTCACATTAAAAGACACCTATATAACCACTTTGAACTCTTCTTTTGAAGTAACTGCATCTTCTAAAAAACTTTGCAAAGTACCACCAGTTTGCCAAGACAACTGCCATGACTGTCTATGCGAACTAGCAAATGAAACATTGCGTGGTCCCTGTGTGTCAAAGAGCCAAGGGATTGTTGCTCCATTGCAGCAAAATCCTGCATCTAACTCACCAGATGTTGAAGCTGAACATAGAGGTGAACAAATAAGGTGTGATGACGACTTTGTAAAGATAAAGAAAGACTGTGATGATAATGGGAACCCAGAAGACAACTTGGACAAACCTAAGCAGACCGAATCATTTTCAGGAGTTGTTAGTGCACGAATCAAACCAAAAGGAGTTTCTAGACAGAACAGCAGTGACAGCCCAAGCAGCCAAAGCAAACATGGAGACAGAGAGTTTGTGCAGTTTCTCTCCCTCGTCCAGAACATTTCAGAAGTCAGTGAAGGACCATTGTCTTATCAACCAACTAAATCAGTGCTGTCTTCCTTACAAGTTCTTGAACACCCCAACAAGTCTAAATTGACCTCTGTCAGTGACCAAACACACCAATTTATGTCTAACACAATATCCCCAATACCTTCATTGGACAAAGAAAAAACGACTCCAATCAGCTTTGAAGATCTTCATGCAAAAGTTGCACCATACTGCAGAACCCCTTCCAATACAAAGATTAGAAAATCTTTGCAAGAACATGAACCCTGTTCTCCCTCCATCCCTTCTACACTCCCCCTGTCAGCTGACACCCTGGTCTGTTGCCCCCCCATACACGCCTCAAGCACAGGGCCTAGTGCTAAAGTCAGCACTTTGCTGGCTATGGCCTTCTCCACCCCCTCGCTGTCTGCCACCTTCACCACTGACCAGCCCCTGACTGATGCACGGCACTCACTTTTACCTGAGGAGACACAGCCTGCTGGCAGCCTGCCCCTTCAGGAGAGCAGGTGAGACTCCTCGCACTAGGACATGACCTATTTTTTTAAGATCTAGACAACAAAACATGAAAATGGGATGTCTTTTTTTTTTTTTTTGGCTTAAATCATTGTTAATATTGTTTTCTGCTGTGATGGTTTGTTTGATTTTGATCACATTCATATTAAGGTTTGCGTTCACATCCAATTTTATTGGATGGTAGCAGTTGCATTGCTTCTGTTTGTTGCTTTACATTTATGTAAATCATCTCATGCTTTAATTTTTTTGGGGCTAAAAGATATTCTGTTGCTTGCTTAAAACATTGCACTCCATTAATTTTGCTTGTTTTGCTGCTACTTATGCTAGCTAGTAGCTAATGACACCATAGTAGAACCACTGCTGTTGCAGGTTCAAGCTTTCTCTACATACAAAAGAAAGAAATGGACACTAATATGTACAAATTAATAAGGATGGTACAATTCAGGCTAAATGTTTGGGCTGCTAGATGAAGGATTTAAAAGAATAATATTATATATATATAATCTATAATCCATTATTAGCTATGAGAGCTGTTAGCACTGCTGGCTTTACAAAAACAAATGTGGTTTTTTTTTTTTCTAGACCGATATGTTTTGACATTTGTTGAAAACAGTTTCCTTTTAAAGAAAAAATTATATCTTAATGCTTCCTGTGATATTTTAAGTACTTCACTAATACTGAAAAATAATAACTTTGAGTCTTTCCCTCAGTAGAAACATCCATACTGAAAAGAGTAGTTGTCAGTGCAGCCTGACAGTGGTTGATTATGTTCTTTCACAAATTAGTAAATCATCTGATGTTTGAGTTTCTAGCTAGCTGGCCACTGGTGATTGCTGTTATTTTTTTTATTAATGCACATTTGTTTAAGCAAGGAGATACCAGACAGCTGATTCTTCTCCATAGCTAATTTATTTAAACATTGATTTCTTCTTCTTATCCTAAGGCTCAGTTCCAGCAAGTGAAAATGGAAAGGGCAATGACTAAACAGTGAGAGCATATTATATACAAACAAGCTAAACACAGTGATTCTGGTCAACTTTTTCTATACGCCTATGTTCAAATTCAATATTTAGTTTTGTAAATAATTACTTGTTATTGACTAAATGAATGAATTTTCCCCATTTTTGACTTCAATTTTTTCATAAAGAAAAAAGCTTTATTTACTGATGGCCTTTATACATTCTGCTTTTACTCAATATGTACTTATTATTAAAACATTCTCTGTTGTTCCTCAAGTTTGAATTGCAAAACTGAGTCATTCAGAAACTACATATGGTAAACAAGCATTTTGCATTATTGTAAACTTTGCAGCATGTTAGTGTTGGAATGCTGGTCCCAACATCTTCCCTTTTCAGGTCTCATCCAGTGAAACCGCTGACATCCAGCCAGCCTGAGAAGAAAGAGGGTCGCTCAGTTCTTGAGAAGCTAAAATCGACCATAAATCCAGGACGATCCACCCATCAAGCCACACCTGAACCTGAGAAGAGTCAGGTACAGATAAAAGAGATACATTTGTTTTTAGTCTTTCATACAACAGTTTTAAAGTCTTTCAGATTTTTAAAGAAACAGTTGAGTTCTGATTTCAGGGCTTCAGTTTTGTGACCAAAAGTGTGTCAGTCAAGATACAGACAGACATTTCTGACATATTGCTAAGACCTAAATTTACAGTTTCACTGAAACAAGAATAAAAGAAGCACCTTTTTGTGTCTGTTCAAAACCTTCAAAACATTTCAAAGTGCAATAAAATAAAACCTGCAGGTCACCAAGTTAGGTTAATAAAAAATTGAATGTTTTTTAATTGAATATTACATGCATAATGCATAATTAACAGGTCAAAAACACTGCTATTATAACCATAAATATTTCATTTTATTTTTAAATAGCTGCTTGGTATTTTTTATATTATAATTTACATAAATAGATGACAAATGTTAATTTTCAGTCACTTATGTAAAGATGTGTGTTAACGTAAACACACAGTTGAGACAGGATGCCTTTTAGTTTTCGGTCATTGATTTGAATGGACTTAGGGGACATCTCCAAACGACTCAGAGTAGATAAATAAATAAACAATGAGAAAGGTTATTTATAATACCTTTTAAAACAGCTTGGACGGAGACAGATAATGAGCTCAGACCAAGTAATGCTCAGATAAAGCTGATGGTAGATAAAACCAAATAATTTCATCTTGGACTCTGCTGACCTTCTTAGATCTTGTGTAATAAGAGAATCTAAAAAGACGGAAAAATGTCTCATTTACAGAACAGAAAGGTTTACAGGAGAGAATAGTTGATAGTTTTGATTTTGCTTAGAATAAAATGCAAAAAGTTGGTGAGTAAACATAATTACATAAATCTGCTCTCTCTGCAGGAGGTTACCGCAGACAGAGTGGCTCAATATCAGCACCTTACCAACATGGAACTGATCTCCCTGCTGCTGCAGCAGGAGATGGACATGGAGAAGCAGCAGGCAGCATCTGACCAGCAGGGGGCGCAGCTGCAGAAGGTTGAGGCAGAGCTGAAGAAAGTGAAGGCGCAGGTCCGAGACCTGGAGGACTACATTGATAATCTGTTACTGCGGATCATGGAGCAGACTCCCACACTGCTTCAAGTACGCTCAAGGCACAAGTAACTACTGAGCCAGTGTTGTTTTGGAGATTAGCAATGTGTGAAAGGATTCTTTCATTCAGACAGGAGGTATTCTGGAGAAACGCTCCATTAATTTGGACTCACAATCATCCAGATTGTCTCACTGCTAATACTACTGCCTTGCTGATGTAGACGTAATATTAACTTTCATGCATGCTGGTTACTTTTTCCCAGTTTGGCACAAACAGAAAAACTGAAGACATGCCATAATAAAAGCTTTCATAAAAGCAGACACAGATGATTATTTCACACAGCTCTCACACAGTAGTAGAATAACTTAAAGTAGTCAGCTTTTGCCACTTTATCTTAAAAATGGTGGCTTTTGCATGTGCTTAAATTAAATGCAGACTGAAAAAAAAAGTTTTTCTAGTGCTTTGAATTAGCTCTTATAGAATTTACAATTAGACGCGATTTGTCTTTGAAATAAAAAGTTTGATTTCTGGCAAAACAATCTAATTTCAGATTATTTCATGCCATAAAGAGTAAGTTAAAGAGTCAATTTAAGCTTATTACTTCTTCTGAAAGAAAAATTAAAACAACAAAAAGGAGGAAAACAGCGTTGCAAACTCACAAATGTTAAAGCAACATTTAGTACGTCTTAAGAGAGTTGAGGACAAAGCCTTAGTTTATGCATTTTTAAGAGTTGAAGACGTTATTTTGGTCAAGTTTTCCCTGAACTTGTTTTTCACACTTGAACTGAACCAATGACAATGTTTAATGCGACGTTGTATGTACATCATCGCATTATGTACATACAGAAACAGTAATACTTTACTGTAAACAACTATATAATGGTATTGTAAGTTACTTTACTTTTTTCATGATAATGTATTCTAATGCTACCCTGAAGCACCACTGTAGCTAGCTGCAATGCTTTATATGACCGCAAAACTGTAATAAAATAAAGCGCACATGAACAGAGGTTTATATAGTTAGTTTTTTTTTGTCCCTGATTTTTTTGTCCATGCTTGAGTTTGATAACAGATGTGCTCCTCTAAACCAAACTTCCTTCTTATAGTCAAGCAATGTAGACTATAAAACTTCTCTTCAGTAACCATTGGCTTGTCAGTGCATCCAGCTATAATTTTTCGTCATGCTAGAAAGTGTTGGCTTCTTTCTTTCTTGCTAAGCCCTCCCTCAGACAACTTGATGTACAATGTGTGGACAGTATCTTTTTTCCAGCATCTTCCAGTTTGAGTCTTGTTTATCCCAAGGTTGCTTCTGAAAATTACAACTGATTTCCTTTCATCTAATCAACATTTAGGGGCGGACGCTTGTAGTTGTTTGTTTGTTTGTTCTAAACGATGCCAAACAAAATTTTGAAAGTTTTTATTTAAGGTCTTCCCAAATTACTGATCTTAATCTTACTACTGTATGAACTATGACTAAAATAAGTCTCTATGTCAGTGGCCAAACCAATTTTCCTGAGCTTTGCCATCACTGATAAAATGTGGTTAGATATATTGCCAGAATTATGCCAGAACCTTTCTGATAACCATGGACAGTGTGTATCTAATGGGATGTTTAAATGAATCTAAATGTATTCATATATGAGTCTACGTACACTAGAGAAAATTACCTTTCAATTCAAATGTGTGTCTGTTCAGCAAAAGAGTATGATGATCCCACATGGGTTCTGTTTTTTAATAGGTTATCAAAATAATGAACAGTAAAATGACATCAGCTGGTGCAGAGACCACACTGACTGGGAGTACTTTGCAGCAGATGTGGTCAATTTTGACCACCAGGGGGCGCCCCTGACTATTACAATCAAGGACCTGCTCGATCAGCACCTCTGTTTTGCAACCTGATTATGTAATTGATTGAAAAATAACTTGGACTGCAGAGATCCCGTATAGCGCTTCCAAAACAGGTTACATAATCTGACAGAAAACCTGCACAGGCTTAGAGATGTAGCTCCAGTGAATTGCATGGTTCCGAAAAAGGATAGAAAGAATTAAATAATTGCTTTATGTGATTGTCATAAAACTGTCATGTAGATACCAGGGTTGGCTATATGGATTTTGTTTAATTTAAATGGCATCATATTTACACATGTGCTCATGCTCCTGTGTACAGAAGGTCATGACTTCTTTGACGTGAGATTTGAGACACTGAAATTCCCATTGTTCAAATTTCCATTTGAGCACTGTTTTTTCGATGATGATTTTTAAGATACCATATATTTAATTAGACTTTTTTGTACTACAATTACACAGAATTTTTTATTTTATTTTTGTGAGCACCCTTTCTTAATTATTATTTGAATATAGTGATGTAGTGTTTCCAGTCCAACTGACTCAAATCTGGAGTCATCCTTTGTCTGTGTAGACTATTCGACACAGACAGAATAGACTACACAGGCAATTCTGTCTTAATGCAAAACTTTTTAAATGCAAGTTTTACATTAATCTTTGCATTAAACTTAATGTAAAAGTTTAACTGATCAGTATAAATCTCAGAAGTTGCTCCTGGAATCTTTAGGAGGATATTGGTGTATTTGTGTGTTTGCATTTGGGCCATACACACTCTCTTTTTTGGATGATGGTTAGAACAGTGCTCTATTAGATGTTTTCAGTTTATGACACGATTTTAACATAACATTTTTCACTAATTAGCTCCAACAAACTTCAAAGATTTTAACAAAACAATTAGTTGTCTTATTGGTTGCACTGCATCTTATTTAGGGACGTAAAACAAAAGGAAACCAGACACAAAGGCACAACACACTTTTCAGATTTTATTTGTATTAAACCTTTAAAGTCATGTTTTGTTTTGTTTTCCCCCCCATTTTACTACTACAATTAGGTCGGATGTTGTAACATGACACCATTCAAGTGGTATTATATTTTTATCTCTCCAACATAATTTAGTATGATTAGTCAATCAACTCTGCGGTTGGGCTGACATTAAACTGAATGAAAATGAAAATCGTGGTGATTCATATCACTGAATGGAGTCCAGGTCTAATTATCGCTTCTCCGTGAGACCACGCCTCCTCACACAGTAATCATAGGACCAACCTGACACCTATACGGGCGCATCAGTCGTTATCTCTCCCAAGATCAATCCGAACAGTTATGCAATGACTTTCAGCTTATCGATTATTTGGGATGTGTAGTCATGCGCATCAACTTTGCCAGTGTTAAGGCAAAGGAAAAAACTACAACTCCCGGCTGGCGTAGGGGCGCATCGCTTCGCCCGAGTTGCTCACACACACTGACTGTAGTTCGCTCGACTGTGAAAAATCCCTTCTAATGATTCAGTTCGTGAATAAATAAAAAGAGTTTGGTGTCATGGCGGAATCTGCAGCGTGTCCCGCTTTCCAGCTCGGGAGACCCCGCTACGATCAGGTAGGAGCTCCGTGTCCTCCGGTAACCACCCGGTTTCTTGACATTTTGTTTTTTTAAGGCTTTCGGATGAGAAAAAAAACAAAAAAAACAACAACATCCTGTTCCTCCGCCCTCATCGCTTCGCTTTAGATGTTGACTCTTCGCTGCAAAAGTTGCCGCCGACGTGCATTAGTGATTGTATTCATGCAAAAAACTCTGAAACTTCTGAATGCGATCAGATTTGTTGCGCTAAAGGGGAATTATTGCTCTATTGTCTTATTCTATCAGGCATCACAATGCAGAGGGTGTGCTTGTGTTTCATTTGAAAACGCACAAATCGGTGACTTTCTCCTAATTTCTGCAAGATTTTCAAAATAAGTCCAGACCAGTTCAAACTTAAGTTTCTGTGTTAACCGAAAGTCATCTGCATGCACCTGCTGACCTGAAGCTTCATGATAATTTACTGTTATGAAATGATTTTATGTTGGTCATCACTAATAATGCGACCTTCACGCCAACTCAGGTTGCTTATTAATCTTAGAAGCGTCAGAGCAATTCGTAAAACAGCAACTTTAAGCAAATCATTTAACACATGGGAATGCATAATGCAAAATTGAGTAAATTGATATCTAAGGCCATGTTTACATTATATAACTAGCACGTTTATCCACAAAACTTCTGCAATGCCATTTTGGTAAAGATCTTACCTATGTGAAAGTTTAAAGTGGCATTTACAATTGTACTTATTTAAGGCTTAATTGAACAAAACTCAGTGGCCACAATTGATTAATGGGAAAACATTGTCTGTTTCATAACTACAGGCTTATACCTTTACAGGTGGAGATATTAAAGAGGCATTCCTCTTGGCTCATTCTTGAGATCAGTTCTTTTTTCTGTTTATAACATATCAATTTGCAATTGTATATCAGTAATTTTGATATGTATCGATAAATTCTTACCTTATCATAATTGCTAAGGCTGTGTGGATGCAGCATTGGGTTGCGTATTAGATTTAAGGCTCCATCCGATTGCCAGAGTTTTACACTCAATGCTACTCTTATAAAAGATGACATAAATGCAGACACATATTTGTGCTTGATTTATTCATTGCACCAGCTGTTTTTTTTTTCATATTTCTGCAACATTTTGATCAAATAATGTAGCCCAAAACACTGAAGTTTTATTTTGAACGAGTTGCAAACTGATCACTAAGGTTTGCAAAATTGCTGTAATGGGATGCAAAAATTAACACTCGACACAAAAGAAACATAAAGTAACACAAAATAGCTCTAGAATCTCTCTGGTTTCTCACTAATTATCCTGTTTTAATCAGGATGTTTAGGTCATATTTATAAGAGCTGGTCTGTGTTCACTTATCTACACTTAGTTCATTGATCATAAATTTATCTATGGATCACAACGATGTTATTTCTTTCACGGTTCACTGCTTTTGTGCTTCTTCCTGCTCGTGTGTGCATTTCTTTGTTCAAAACCGGTTGAAGAACATCAAGACCAGACCGCTTTAATCATCCACCTTCAGTTTATAACACCTTGATAAAGTTGCTGTAACGCTTCTTGGGTCTCACATCAAAGCGCAGGAAATCAGACCAGCTCTTGAATCAGCATAAATCTTGCTTTTTAAAAAAAAAAAAATTTCGGTCTGTGCTTCGAGCCGGATTCCATCTTTGCTAGCCTAGTTGTGTTCTCTCATGGGAGCTGAAGCTCATGCATAATTAAAGCCGGCTCCTCACATGGCTCCGCGCTCTCTCCACCTCTCTTACAAAACAGCACTGCAGCACATATGGCCTGTCAGAACAGGAGATGTGCAGTGACAGAAAGGCAGTGATAGAAAACCCAGAGCAGGGAATGATGGTCTATAGTGAAGACTGAAATAATGTTCCAGTCATTTCAATTAGGATATGCTGCTAAGGAGTTAGTTATAAAAAGACACTCTGTTTCCACTGTGTTTTCTGCTCTTCATAACTAATAAATATCTCAGAGGGAATCTGACTGAATCTTGTTGCCTTGTTTTTGTCCACTGAGGTTGCCAAAGAGGCTCTTGGCACAAACTGTTAGTGGGTCTTTTCAAAGAGCTGGCACACAAACTCAGCAATTGGCATGCTGACGCAGACGGAGAAAAACAGAATGCTTGACCAGAACAGTTTAGAGCCTTCCACTAAAGTGTGCTGTTATATTTTCTTCCTGCTTTCCCCAAAGATTAATACTAATAGTTATTAGGATGAGTTTCAGTATTTAGCCAGTGGGCACCGAGAGTATCTAATTTATGAAGTGTGTGTATATCATTTCAATGAAGAACACAATGTGATTTTAACAAGACAGCCCAGCTTTCAGATTTATTACATTTACTTTTTGATACTGAATAATGGGGAGTTGTTTTTACTTCATCCTTAGTGCAATAATTGTCAACAACAGACAATTTATACTGCAATGTGTTTACTTGGATGGGGGTGTTTTGTGACAATAGTGTCTTCTCCATTACAGAATGTTTTTCAAGTGTTTTGAAAATATTGTTAATCTTCCAGATATTTCGCATGATGATTTTAATTAAATTGCTCGGGCGTTCAGCTTTTCATCAAAACAACTTTAGTCTCACAACCGTACGAGGTTTCCTGTAGGACATTGCAGAAACATTTGCACAAAAAGCTGTGGAATAATTTAACATTTGTGTCATTGTTTGGACTTTTAGACTTTTAGCTTAGACAAATATTTCCAAACATAAAATCTCCTAAAGATATTCATTTATGTTTTCTTTTAAAAGAGACTAAAATTGACCTATGTATGGTATGATGTGTTCCCAGAGTTCGTTCTTTGGACGTCTGAGACACTTTGTTGACATCATTGATCCCAGCACCCTGTTTGTCTCAGAGGTAACGCTTCCTGTTAAAGTGCTTGTTTTGCAACTATTTATATGCTTGGCATATCTTTTGTGTGCAGAGTTCTATGTTATTCCCTTTTATTGAAACAATCTGTTATCTGAATAAAATGACAGATTTGGTCTCCAGTAACATTGGACATTTGGGTTCCCTTTTCGTAATTGAATAGTAGCAGATAATGGTCTTTTTGTGTCCCCATTCTGATGCAAAAATAATGGGGATGCAGGTTGATTCTCTATTCATGCTGACAAACAATTATACCAGTGTACCTAATCAAGTAACAGGTTTGTGTGTTTATGACTTATTTTATTTAATTTTTTTTTTTTTTTCAGAAAAAGTTAAAAGAATGCATCAAACTCCTTGACGACTACAAACACGACACACTTCCTCCTGGAGTGTCTGCAGATCAGGTGAGCGTTTGCCACAGTTGATGCAAACCGTGTTTCAAAATATGTTCAGAAGGCTTGGAATAATGTAAGTAATGCAATGAATCATTTCCCTTTTCTGAAAGATTCAGAGCTGATGAATTAAATAAAACACACAATGCAAAATTCCTAATTGGTTCCTTTATTTAAAAACTAAAAATGAAGACTGTGAGAGTTTTTTTTTTTTTTTTAAAGCATCTTCTTGAATAATTAATTTATATAGTCGATTGCATCATAAAATATGATGCAACTTATGGTGAAAAATGTGAAAATGGAAGACAAAGATGACATTCCTCCTTTAATGACATTCTGGTTTTGCTGTGTAGTTGTGGGAAGCCCAGAAGATTAAACAGGTAAGACTGTGTTTCTTCATCTTAACCCCACTTTCATCCATTCATCCCTGAGCTGGTGGCAGCATGAGGAAGCTCTCATGCTTTGTGTCACAGGCCATCATTCACCCTGACACAGGAGAGAAGATCTTCATGCCATTTCGAATGTCAGGTATGTCCTCAGATGAAGATCTTTGTCCAGATTTCCTCAAACCGAATCATTTTTTCCCATCGCTCTTATGCTGAAATCATGTTTCCACTATGCAGGTTATGTGCCATTCGGAACACCAATTGTAAGTCAAACAAACAACCCATACATTTTGAATGTAAGCGTGTTTGAGGACAAAAAAAAAAAAAAATGAAACTTTGGACTTATTTTGTTCAAAAATAAGCTCTTATTTCCTGGTTTCATTTAGGTCATTGGCCTTCTCCTCCCAAATCAGACTGTGATGTCTACCATTATCTGGCAGGTACTGGAAATAACCAACCACTGTGGTGCTTCAAAGTATCCAAAACCTTTACAGTCATTTATATTTGTGTATAAATATGATTTTTCACAATTTGGAGAGATGGTGAGAGAAGGTGCCCTGATCAAAACCAAACGTCTTGTCCTGCATTCAAATCTTTGAGCCGGAAAACTAGCAGTGATCATCTCTATTGAAACTGAGATTGGAATAAACAAAAGTTTTAGTCTCCAGATCTCCATAGGTGGCAGAGACATACATTTAATTGCAGCTGTAACTGCATCTAATGTGTTTTTACAAAACACTAACGAAAGAGGGCTGAATGTAATTTGATGTTTTCAGATTTTTATTTGTAAAAGAGTGAAAACCATGAATATTTTTTTTTTCTGGTCTGCAATAATGCACTGCCTTGTTTTGATCCGTCATATAAAATCTCAGTAAAATACAATAAAGTTTGTATGAAGAGATGCAACGGGGAGGAGATAGAAAGTTCAAAAAGTAGAATTACCTTTGCAAGGATCTGTACGGTGAAATAAACTCCAATTATAACACAAATACAATTTGATTCAATTTGTATTCAGGTAACATGTTGATTAAAATAAAACATGGTGCCAGCATCACTGTAAAAACAATTACATTTTTAATCTTTAAATTCAAACAGAACTCATCTGCTCAAGGCAAGTATCACAATGCTTGTTGCATATATAGATTTATATAATCTTCTTGTTAAAATCTGAGTCACAATATTACATCGGTTGCATCATATTTATGCATATTTATAGGAAATACTTAAAGGCAGAAAAGCCATACTTTTTAGCACCAACATATCACAGCATCTATTATCCATTTTGATAATCTGGTCAGCTTTGCCACGCTGAGTGACTTAACTATTTTCTAGCTCCTTCCCCATAGATTATGGATCATTTGTGTTTTGTATTTTGTGTTTTCTTTCAGTGGTTGAACCAGAGTCACAATGCCTGCGTGAACTATGCCAACCGGAATGCCACAAAGGTAAAAACAACTTCAGATTCCTGTTTTTTGTAGAAATTGAATAAATAAAAACTGATGGCTTTCTTTTTTTTTTTTTTTTTTTTTTCTCTGCAGCCCACTCCTACATCTAAGTTTCTTGAAGGCTATGTCGGAGCTGTGACCAGTGCTGTCTCTATTGCAGTAATTTAGCTTTCTTCTTCACCGAAGCTGATGTCATTACTTGTAATATTCTGTAATTCTTAGAAATCTAGGTATATTACTAATTGCAGTTTTTAAGTTAAAATGAATTAGATTCAGCACGCTGAAAAACAAAACAAAACATAAGATTTAGTTTAATACAACTACATCTGTTGCAGCTTTTTACTTTTTCTAATTTGGATTTTTTTTCTTTAAAGCTGGGACTGAATGTGCTGATTCAGAAGGCCAACAAGCTGAGCCCTGGCACCAGAATGATCATCCAGAGATTTGTCCCCTTCCCAGCTGTAGGTGGGTTTTCAAAAGACCCTCCATCATAATGAGACTTTTATTATGTGTCCCTCTGCTGGTTAGAGCTGCAAACTCATAGAAGATACATTCTCTTTATTATCCAAATTACTATGACGGTCATAGTGTACCTAGTTTAAAATCCTACTGTTTTTGTTTTTTAAGGAAAATATTCTCGTATTCTTGTAGGTGTTTTATATTTTGTAATGCCTCAGTTGTTCCTTTTTAGCAAGTGCAAACATCTGTAACGTAGCCCTGATGAGACACAGCGAGCTGTCTGAAGGTATCGACGTTCTGGACAACAACGGCAGCGTGGTGGGATCCTCCAAAATCGCTGCTCGACATGTAAGCTTCTTTTTTTTTTTTCATGTTGTTTGACTGTGAATTTAATGCTTAATATCATGGTGGCTAACTGGTGACTTCTCATTTCCTGCTTCGCTCGACTCTCTCAGCATCAGATTTAATCACCTGTCCACGATCTTTGTTCTTTATTCCCAGGCAATAATGGAGACCGCCTTCACACGTGTGGTCCTTCCTATGCCAATTTTCGTGCTGCCGCCCATCATCATGTCCTACCTCGAAAGGTTTGTGCAGAAACACACAGGTGAAAAATAAGAAAAAAAAACAAAAAAACAATCATTGCATTTGAGAAATCAAATAAAACAACTAATATGTTGTATTCTTGTCAAGGAGGATAATCTTTGCTCACCAAGTCTCTATAACGACCACTATAATCTATTTACATGCCAACAACTTTTGCTGGGAGGTTTTCAAGAAAAATACTTTTTTAAATTTACTTTAAAGCCGCTGTTCACATTTTTACTCCTTTTGCCGATAAATGTGGAGGACGCTGTATAAACCTGTAGCAGAAGCTTCTTTAAAAAAAAAAAAAAAAAGTCCACCCATTTGAAAGTTAAGAACAGAAAAATAAATAATTCACCTGCATCAAAGGCTCACTTTTTAAATGCAGGATGATTTATGTTTATTTCATGTCCGTTTAACATTAATGCAAGATTTCCCTTGTGTTGAATAGTTTATTGCTCTATTTTTATTCATTAGATTTTAATAATTGAGTCACCGAATACATGAAAGCCGACAGAAAAAAAATGACTTCAGGAGAAGATAATCAGAGTTTTGAAATAGCCTGACTAAAGTCTGGTGCTAAATTTGCAAGAAAAATTGTGGGGTGACATCTGAAGACGACTCCAGGCACGAATGTCCTTATTTGTCCTTGGATATTTGCAATAATTTATTATTGTCTGACTTTTCACATCACACCTGACATTTTAACAGGGTCTGCAGCTACACAGTTTTAGAGCCGCTGAATCAAATGGACCTTCAAATTCATCAGCTTTAGTTTAACACCATTTAAAAACTCTGTGAATTGTTTTAATTCTACTCTTATATTTATGTTATGTTACAGATATCTTCCTTTGTTAGACTCTCTTATCAGAAGGTTTGAATCTAGTACATATAATTGTGCATGTACCGAATGGGAGCCAACATATGTTGTGCCCTGAGGTTGCTACAGTGGGGGCGGTGGGGGGGAATTTAACAGAAGAAGACAGAAACGCAAAAAGGGGGAAAAATAAACTTAGGAGTTTTATTTAAAATTTAAATAACAGAAGAAGTGTGCCATCTGGTTAATTAAGCTCCATCCTTCTGAATTTCCCACCCTCTAATTGTGTGAAACAGCTTCCCCCGGATCTGCAAACAATCCCAAAATAACTCCAGGCGTTGCAGTAGTCAGCCTGGATCAATCCACGCCGCAGGCTCACGTTCCCTTTTTATCCTTGTCCTGACTCACACAGGCTGCGATTCCTGCAGAGAAACTGCAGACTTCTGCTGCCCATCCACAGCGTTGTGTGCCTGGTTACGTTCGGCCTCTCGCTGCCCGTGGCCATCAGCCTCTTCCCTCAGATGTCTCAGGTACAGCGCGTTCAGCTGCTCTCAAGGCCAGATGGCTCATGGAGCAGCTGGGAAGATATTCACATTAAACATACTCCACTTAGCTCCCACAGCCCCTGCAGGCTTTTGTTCTCCACTCAGCTCTCTAAAAATGACTTTCAAGGTGAAACCCAGAGCTTAATCAATTCAGTATCATTTTTTTTCTTGTCTTTTTTTTTTTTTTTTTTTGGCAGATTGAGGTATCTCGCCTTGAGCCGGAGATTGCCATGGCAACGGATTGCAAAGTGTTGACCTACAACAAAGGTTTATGATGAAGATGGGACACGAGCTCCAAACTGAGGCTGCTTTATGAATGACTGTAACCCTGCTGCAGGGTTTTCGGGGTATCTGACACGTAATTATTATTATTAGAGTTGTATTTACCCAACATTCCTAGACCTGTTCTCATGCTGCATTCACTGAGCCACGGTGAATCCTCTGAACATCCCAGAGATTGTTGCCTTCACTACAGCTGTCCAAGAACTCTCAATTTTTACTATAACACCTCTTTTATTTTTTTTTATCAATAATGTGTTTCTGATTATTTACAGAGTATTGTTTTCTGGAGTTTCTGGAGCACAATCAACCTAAATAGTGATCCTTTAAATTCTGATAATAAGATCGTTTAAACACATCTTTCCTGGACTGTTTTTGAGTCAGATATGTATTCTGTTTTTCTCACGTTTCTTCATATCTTTTTGTCCCGAAGTGTTGAGCTCTGGCAGCTGGTGTTATGTTTGTGTTTCTGTCGGATTTTCACAGCAAACAGCTGCCTGTGAAGCAACAGAAGGAAAGTCTGCGAGTTGGGATGGAAGCAGCAGGATGAAAGAGGTTATTGAGTTTTTGTAGAGAAGAGGGCAGCTGCACAGTGTGAGGATTCTTCCCTGTGCATTAATATTACTGAAGGCACCTCTAAAAATACCCTTAATAGACAGCACACTGCACATTCATAGGCATCCTGGTAGAAATGTGTAAATGCCTCAGATTACATCTCTTTTATTGCAGCAGCATATGTTAACACTAAGAAATGTTCCAACCTTTTAATTTGCTACAGTTATTCTTTCAATAATTTATTTTCTCCTCCTACTTCTTCCCTGCTGTCAGTACTTTGAACAACCTGTTTTGGCAAATAGGACAGGAAGACCTCATCAGTGACCCATTTCATGTTCAGTCGTAGAGTCCAACAGGTATTTATTTAAAACAGGATCACAGCATTGTAGATCCTCCTCCATCATTGCTACCTGTAGACATGATTTATAGATTTGACCTCCACTGTTTTTTTTGTACTAGTCCTACATGTAGGGTTTGTTGCCAAAAACGCAGCTTTATGCTGATTTAATTTCATCCCTTGACCCTCATACATTGTCATTTTTTCTATGGCGTGAGGGTAGAGAAATTAAAACATATTTCTTTTTAGAGGCATACTTGGAAGAAAGGGACAGAAAAATGTACAAAGAAATTTAGTTTGTTATTTGTAACCGTACAGAAATATGTCAGTTATTTCCAATTAGTTCAAAATACACAAAGATAATAAAATAATTCTTAACTTAAAGTGTTTTATTGTCACAAGCATACAAAATCAAATTTAGTGTTTGGCTTGTTTGTCCAAAGCACACATTTGGAGTTAATTGATCTTTACTAATTGTAGATATGTTGAAATAAAATATTTTGTTGATCTAAGCTATTTGTGCTAATAAAAGTGAATGGTACCGTGACTACCTTTATTCAGTCACAAGGCTGTGATATAAAACAGTAGTTTCTGAAGGGTACCATCTAAAACCATTGAAATGTGTCAGACTTTGTGTTGTACATCTATATGTTGGAGCAGTCTGTAAAAATCTAAACTGGTCACATATTACAAGACCAGTTTGGATTTGTTTTAGCCGTCACATTGTTCCTTGTTTACTGGGGCTTAATGAACCTCTGCTGCAGATATTTACTGATTTATAAACTGATTCATATTAACAGAGCACCTTTTTTAACCCACGTAATGTGAATTAGCATTCACAATTTCTGACATTGTATGAAGTTTTTGTCTTCATATTTTTACACTAATGACTGTTATTCAACTTTAACTGCAATTACATTAGACTTCTTTTCTGTACATTATTTTAAATGTATGTATAACATATATGAGATAAAATGTATTGTTTATAAATTCATTCTTATTAAATGTTTGCTTGTCAAAAATGTTTATCTGTGTTTGTATTATTTGACGTTATATATCTGTGAGTCAGTTGGTAAGGAGTGTGCTCTTGGGCAGCAGCTGTTATGTTTTTGTTTTACTTTTTTGTTCAACTTACTCAAAAATTGTATTAAAGTTATCCCGTTTCTTAATGTCTTTAATGTCATTGTATCTGAATGTCGAAGGAGTTCACATACATTCTTCTTTTATCCTTTGAGTTTAGCGGCTATTTTATATCTGAATGACTCATATGACATGTTTGACAGCTTATAGAAGTTTTATAATTTCAGTTTAGATTTATAAGTAAAAAAGAAATAAAGGAAGGAAGAAAGAATCCAATAAAGAAAGAAGAAAAGGAAGAAAAAGAAAGAAAATGTGCTACTCATCATCCCACCAGCAGGAGGCGCTGTCTCCTTTTCTACATGGTTATCTTAAAGGGTTGAAAGGGCAAATCTGTTGTCAAACATGGCTGCTCCCGTGGATGACATGTTTTCCCTGTGTGTGGACCCGTTTAAAGTCACCAGCACCGTGGAAGTCCAGTTTATAGACAACATAAAGGTGAGACTTTCCTGCTTTGTCACATTTAAACAGCCTGAAGTTGTTCTGTGGCTTAGTGGCGCCTCAGAGGAGCTGTGCTGCTAGCCGCATGTCGGCTGCAGCTCACTGCTGCATGACATGACATACACTGAACCTCAGTGTACAGAAAATACAGTAAGAAGGCAGCGATATCACACTTTAGCTTAAAATGTTATCTATATTGTTGGATATTGTTGCATATAAGGCAAATGCATTGGTTTTTATTTGTTTTTCCTCCTACGATTCACTAAGACCTTTAGTGTAGCAGTACAGAGGTTAACAGCTGGAGCATTATATCTTCTTTGTTTCTAGTTAAATCACCAACATCGTGTCTTATAATTAAACTGAAATAGGTATGATGTCATGAAGTTCAAACTGTTGAGTTATTTAATTAATTTGGAAATAATTACAGCTTATTAAACATTGCAGGCATAACTTGTGGCATTTTGATCTCATTTGATTTATGTTTTTATTACCATTTTTTATCTATCCTAACTAAATCATTGCAGTAAGGACTGCAGTGTATTTTGCTTTATTCAATTTTGGTACATTCCTTTTTTTCCTCAAGCTTCTTGTTTGAATGTTTGCAGGGTAAGGGTCTCTTTGCGAAAAGAAGCATCAAGAAGGGAGAAACCATTTTGATTGAGCGGCCTCTGGTTTCTTCGCAGTTCCTGTGGAATTCCTTGTATAAATATAAAGGTATAAAGTGCTGTTCATTGTAGTGAAGTTCTCAAACGTAAAACCTTAAAAAAAAAAAAAAAAAAAAAAACAAAAATCAAAATGCATACTCTTCAGAATTAAAGTAGGTCTGAATTTTTTGTGGAAGTTTTGTATAAAATTAAACTTAAATATTTTAAAAGCTCATAGTTTCCCTTCTGTTTTTTGCCTTTTCCCAGCCTGTGAGTACTGCTTACGTGCTCTGGAGACTGCAGAAGAAAATGCCCGGAGACTCTGCTGCAATCCCGCCCTCAGCCTTCCCCATCCTGAGCTCTGCCGCGTCCGGCCTGAGCTCCATCAAGCCTGCCCTCAGTGCCAGGTAGGTCCACTCACAAGCTTCAGTGCTTTGCTATTTTTGCAATATTGCATTTTTGGTTTTTTATCGGTACAAAAAGAAGCTACATGCTAGTTTCTGACACTTTAGGTTTTAATCAATCTCATCTAAATGCTTCTACTTTACAAATAGTTAGTTCATTAAGAATGCTCCACTACAAAGAAAATTAGCTGATAAGGCACAGTCTCCATAAATCACTACAAAATAAAAGCAGGAGGGGAAAAAATGGTAACATGTAAGTATAAAATATGGTAGCAAATTGGTGAGGTTAAGCATCTTCATCAGTTGAATGGAAGGAAGTGTTTATTTGAAAAGTATGTACTACAATTTCATAATTTTATAAATTTAATGATTCATTTATGCAAATTTACAGATTTACAGTTAGAGTTGACTGTATAGCAGTTTTAAATTCATGAGTATTACATGGGAGTCAAAGTGAAAAAAAAATAAAAAAAACAAAACAAAACATAAAGGTAACTCAGACAGATCTACAATTTATTTTATTAATTTCTCAGGATCTAAAGCTTGGAGTTAAATATTTTATCATCAACATCTTGATAATTTAACTCTGGAGTGTAATGAGTTGATCAAGCTAAAAAGTTAGGATGCTATTTGGACATAAAGATAACATCTTTTTAATATTCAGTAAAAACAATTTTTCTGTTGCAATCAAATTACTTGCCCCCTGCTGGTCAGTTGCTAGATTGCACATTTCTCATTTCTACATTTTTCTTAACCAAAAAAACCCCTCCACATATCTTTTTATACAAGTGGAGGAATAGCTGATGTTCCAGAAATGTTTCAGTATTTTCTGACATTAGATAAATTTCACCCTTTGCAAATATTTCATTGAGCTAAAAATAAAGTTTGGTTACCTAAGAATTTTTTAGATGGACTTAAAACTCACTTCCCTTTGCATGCTTGAATATCTTGTACTTGTATTTTCAGCCTGGGAGACGACGAGACCAATACACTTTACAATCGCTTTCTTGATTACATTGTTGCCAGGTGGTGCAAAACTGTTTTCATCACTTTTTGTTTTTTTTGTTTTTTTTTATACTGCTGCTCTGCAGGTGATGTACTGCAGCAGTGAGTGTCGGCAGGCAGCTGCAGATCAGTACCATCGGGTTCTGTGTCTGGGTCCCTCTGAGGAAGATCCAGATCATCCCATCAACAAGCTTAAAGATGCATGGAGGTGACGCAGACTTTAACTCGCCATTTTATCACCTCTTGTGTCCTGATTGCATTCAGACATGTTTGTTGGCTAGTAATTAAAAGGCATTGTTTGCTTTTAGGAGTGTGCATTATCCCCCAGAGACGTCCAGCATCATGCTGATGGCCAAAATGGTCGCTGTGGTCAAACAGGTGAGTCTCTAATGACTCACATGTGTTGATCTGAAACCAAAATCTTGCAGAAATCTGTTAAAATTAACTTGACAAGTATCAGATGCGGCAATACAAAATGTACCTTCTGTGGATGTAATTAGATTTTCACCCTGCATTGTTTCATAATTCAAACCTTGTTGTTAAATCAGCCACGAAATGAGTTCTAAGATTGATACAGATGGCCTTAATGAGAAAGTTGCTTCATAAAATGTTTGAAATCAGCCAGGCAGGTTACAAAATTAAAGCTTAATCAACATATTAACTTAAGCAAAATTAATTTTCACTTTGAACTTTTTTTTTTCTTTTTTTTTTTTTTTCTTTTATTAGACATGAATTAAGCTGCTGTTTACCATTGTAACTAATAGACCCCATGATGTGAATGTATTCCAGGCCAAAAATAAAGCACACTGGCAGAAGCTGTTTTCTCACTTCTGCAGCCGGGCGGCGAACGAGGAGGAGGAGATCGCCCATAAGCTGCTGGGAGAGCAGTTCAGGGTGAGTTGGCTTCCTTTTGGAAACCTCAGGTCACAATGTGTGTGTGTGTGCGTGTGTGTGTGAATTATTTTAACTCTGACAGTTCAAAAAGAACATCACAGTTCTTCACATCTCAGCGGGCAAAGCAGCAGAGCGCTTTGACTTGAACCTCCAGCTGTGGCTGCGTTTGCTTTATGAAAAGGTGTTTGTTCAATGGGATGTAATTTTTCTGTCCCGTTGTGTTTGCAGGGGCAGCTGGGCTCGTTGCACAGCCTTTTTAAGGAAGCACTTTATGATGAGCATCTCAGTCGGGTCAGTATTCCTCACATCCTTTTCTTTTCAGTCTGGCAATCATTCATTTCTTATAAGCACATAAAAAATTTTGCAAAACATTACAAAAAAGCAAGAATTTGTTTGGGTTTTTCAGAGCTTGTCAGAAGTTTACGTACACTAATAATCAGCATGAAATAAGGACGCTGAACAGTTTTTTTCTTTTCAAGGTGGATTTTTTTTTCAAACCCATTCATCATCAAATATGTACATTAAACCTCCAATAATATTCAGTTAAGTATCCCTTGGCAATTTTTCATATCCTTTAACAAATGTTTTCTATAAAATTGTCACCATAAAGCTCAAATGAAATGCTCAGCTGCCATGTGGTTGAGCTGAATTCTATCTGAAGAAACGTTTTGTGATCAGATGAGACAAAGATTGAGCAGTTTGAGATTTCAACCCTCACAACACTGTACCAGATGTCAAGGTGGTGGCAGCATCATACTGTGGGGTTGCTTTGCTGCCACTGCACAAACTATGTGGAATGATAAAGTAGGGTGATAACCTTAAATCAACACCTGGATAAGAGGTTTTCAAAACCACCTGAATCTGTTTTCAGAATTACCTCATCAGTTTTTCAGTCCTGCTAATGATCTCATTATTTGACTGAGGTGTGTTGAAGCAGAGACACATGTAAACGTTGCAGGTTGCCGGCCCTTGAGGACTGGATTAGAAGGCCTCTCATGGTTGGTTTTAACTTGAAGGGAAGTGGGAGTTCCTGCAAACAATGATCTTATTCACGCATTAAAACTGGTTCTGGGAAGGATTAAGCAGGCTGACATATGATTTATGAACAGGATTACCAAAGCCAGGACCTTAATCCTATTGAAAATTAATGGCCTACACTTTAAAGCTGAGGCAGGAAACCAGTCACTATAATAAACTCAGTGGATTACTAGCAGCTGGTGAAATGGGAGAGTGTCTTTTCCCACAGCTGGCAAACACCAGAGATGTGTTTTCTTCCCTCTTGAAACAAACACCTGTGAAACTACCAACGACGTCGCCATCACTTGGTTGATCCAGGACAGGAAGTATTCAAACCCCCGCAGACCTGGACCTGTGTAAGAATGTGGAGATGGTGGTGGACTTTGTCAGAGTTTCACGCAAACCCTCTTTCCTAACTTTTTACTTACTGCGGATCCCTTCAGATTACTAAGTTCCACCTTTTCTCTGGACCTGAGAAGTTTCAGAACAGAAAACAATCACAGGTTTCTTCTTCTACTAGCTGTCACTTCAAACACTTAACATTGAGAGCTCAGCAACTCGTTGACAAACAGTACAGTTTTTATCTTTCATACATTTATTTATATAAATATTTGTATGCCGAAAACAAATGAAAGCCCAGGTCTTTGCTGGTTTGCACAAATTTATCTAACTGTGGCTGTGAATGCATTGTTTTAGAACTGTGAAGCAAAAGTCCACAACTTGGTTGTGAAGTTATTTGTATGAAACTTTTCATCATTAAAGAAAGAATGATCCAAATAAATAGTTTTCAGACTTTACAAGTAGAATATGGGAAGTTTTTATTAGAGCTACATGTATAGTTCAACATGTTTTAAGCTCACTGCTTTTAGCCCATGCATGCAGCATTTTAAGGAGGATGGTGTTTAAGTACGTGTGTTTCTAAAGGGCTTAATAAGTTGCTATTTTTTCCTGATTTGTTAACAATTGTAGATTTTATTCTGATAAAAAAAAATTAACATTGGATTACTTTTCCAGTTTTTTCTGCTCATTTTAGTCTCGGTGTTGGAATCAGTATGTCTTTTTAAATGTTGTTTCTCTTACATAAAAAATATTGCAAAATAACTCACCATGCAACTCTTATTCAACCAAGCGTTTATTTGTAATCTGATTGAAAGCAGTAGATGTGTATCTGTGTTGCAGTGGTTTGTTCCTGAGGGTTTCCGCTCTCTGTTTGCGTTGGTGGGAACAAACGGCCAGGGCATCGGCACCAGGTGAGCCCTTCCTCTGCTCCTGCCTTTAACTATCCACATGCTCGCTTCCGGATCTCTGTTTGAATGTCATTTTGTGTCTAACACAGCTCTCTGAGTCAGTGGGTTCATGCCTGTGATGCACTGGAGCTTCCCGACCAGCAGAGGGAGCAACTCGACTCTTTTATTGACCAGTTATACAAGGACATCGACAAAGGTCACTGTTTTATCTCAGTACTGCAGTAATTTCTGAAGTAAATAGATTTATTCTCTGCTGAGGAGATTTGCAGCTGTCATATTGTCTGAATGAGAGCTTGTTCTAGTCTGTATTGCAGGAACAGCAGTGCATTCATCCAACAGAAAGTCGAAGCCAATGAATATAACTTGTGTGTTTCTGTGCAGCGATGGGAGAGTTTCTGAACTGCGAGGGATCTGGACTTTACCTGCTGCAAAGCTCCTGTAAGTGTCGGCGGTGTTCTTTGTTTTATCTCCAACAAGAAGGTTCCAGTTCTAAGAGTAGATTAAAACAGAAAGATTTCCACGTTTGAATCTCGCAGGTAACCACAGCTGCATCCCAAACGCGGAAGCGTCCTTCCCCGACAACAATTTCCTGCTTCACCTCAATGCCCTGAGTGACATCAGCGCAGGAGAGGTCAGCTGACACTGCTGGATTCACAGTGATGTATTTTAGTGCGCCAAAGACGGGACAGAACATCCCTTTATAGTCTAGCTTGGTGTTCTCCCCTGTCAGACGGCATTAGAAGGCTGAGATGTCCAGAATCGGAGTGGGTTTGTCAAGCTGTCAGAAAGATTGAGAAGGCTTGCATCTGCATGGCACAGTAATGTCACAGAAGCTGTGCTAGTTTCACAGCAAATCTCTCCTGTGGATGTGGGGGAAAATACGAAGAAACAGGGGGATTTAACTTACTGCTGCATTGTGCACAGACAGGCGAGGAACATATTATTTTCTTTTTCTTCTTGGTGAAAAATAGTCCAACTTTTCAGGGGTTCCCACGCAATCTGGGAACATTTAGGACGGTGTAGATTTGAAAGAACATCTGACTATGTCAAAATACATGGCTTTAATTATAGGATGTTGTTCATAATTTAGTCTGCTCTGTCCATTTTCTCTGTTTATTCCTTCATCTT